TATATATATATATTTAGAGGGAGGAGTGAAGAAAAATAGAATTAAAATTGGCATATCTGCTACAGACGCAGGAGCTGTTCAATTGTGGATCTCTCTCCATGTCAAGGATAGACAGACATCTCAGGGGGCTCAGAGCAGTTGCCAAGCAACAACTCCCTCCTTTTTTAATTTATTATTTTTACTGTTTATTTTCACACATTCATATCTTTCTACCAGTCTTCTTAATTTGACCATTTAAAAACACATGCATTGTGAATTGTACACAGCAAAAGAATAATGATCATTTAGGGTCGTAGATTTTTTTTCCCCCATCATAACACAAGAACAAAGCAGTTTTGAATTATTTCTGTTCCAAGAATGTGGTTTTGCCATATGGTATTTTAATGTTTTCAGTTTGTTTTACCTTGTGCGGTTCAGGTCAATTTTACTCGGGTCCAGCTCAATGTACTTCTTCTCATCAAAGATGCGATTGATGATGGGTTTCAACACGTCATGCAGATACAGCATGCCAACCGCCTGACAGCAAAACAGGACCATTTACTGTAGGCATCTCATTAATAACTGTGGTGCAAGGTCTGGGTTAAAAATATGAAAATCAACTAAACTCACTGACCAAATCAATCAATCAATCAATTAATTAAAAAACAGCTTGTCATGGACAAATTAGTGCACATGCAGATCTGCTAGGAGTCTGTTAATGATTTGGTTTGCAGGTAGTTGGCACACCTAGAACAGTCACCAGAAGCAGGTCCACTGCAGAGGGCACAGGTGGTGACATCACAAGTCAGTGGATAGTGTTATCATGTAATCGGCAGATTATCTGACAGTCGGTCAAAACAAAAAGTGACGGTCTGACAGAGGATGTCTCATAGATACTTTATCATCTGTATTTGAATGGGTTTGATGGTGAACATAGCTGGTGGTGGTGGATCATGTTTGGTGATAAACTTTAGGTCGTATTCACACCAGGGAAGTCCTTTGCTTTGCTTGTTTGGTCCGGACCAAAAGTGGACTTTAGTTTTTTAGTTTGGTGTGGTTTGCATTCACATTGTGCTTTTTTTGCAAACTAACTATAACTTGTAAACAAAGCCACAAGGGTAATGATCATTGCTCCCACTGGACAGAAAGGACGGGGGCGGGACTGAGCCACAGATCCAGAAAAAAACATGAATGTTCTGTGTGCTGCAGTTCTGATGTGCACATTTATGCTGATAGTACAACTGCAATAGCATTTAAAATGTCAAAAGCAGCTGATTTAATGGTGGTTTTGTGATGATATTTAAATTTTGGAGCGACGTCAGTAAATGTGTCCCACAACCCAAAGGAGACGAGGTGTTCTGCGTGTTCTGACCCACAACATGCTGCCAGCAGAGCTGCTAACAGGAGACAACAAAACAGGTATGATTTTAGTTTATTTAGCTCAGTAATGGTGGCCTGTGAAGTCCAAAAAGGTGCATGATTTATGTAGTTGGTTCAGTTCAAGTCCGGTCTGTGTTCACACCAGAAGTGAACCGCATCAGAGTTTGTTTGGAAGTGAACCAAGACCACCTCAAAAAGCGGGTCTCAGTCCAGTTGTTTGATCCACACCAGAGTTCACATGAGTGTTTTCACACCTGCACCAAAAGTCTGGACCAACGCTGGAAACAAACTCTGGTTTATTTAAAACGGAGCAAATGTGTCAGGTGTGAATACGACCTTAGTTCTCCGTTACCAAGGATGACCACAGAGAGGGGACCAGTTCTGCCAATGTTGGAGAGACGCAGAGTTTCTTCTGGCTTCATTATGTGGGGAGCCATAAGACTCCAGGACATGTCTGGTCATGTTCCTAAAGACCTTGATGGAACAGTACCAGCGACATCTTCAGTCCAGTGTTGCCAACTTAGCGACTTTGTCACTAGATCTAGCGACTTTTTAGACCGCTTCAGCGACTTTTTGGGATAAAAAGTCGCTAGATTTGTCGGACAAATCTAGTGACTTTTTTCCTTTCCTCCTCCTTTCCTCCACAAGCAGCGAGCGTGGAGGTGAACCCCTCCCGCTTCCTAAAGCCGTCCGACTCACTGAAGCCTCTTGCAGCACCCCCCACCCCTACCCCCACCCTCGGCTGAAGTTAGATGAGAGTAGACCGCTGCAAATGAATCACGCATGCGCAAAGCTGTCACTGCTTCTATGTGGTTTACAAAGCGGGATGTAATATTTATTGTTATGTTTTACTCCGGTACTGTCTCTCTAAACTAAATCTCTGGACCCAGCTGTGTTTGACTCTCAGATCAGTCACTGCTTCACCTCTTCCTCCCTGTGCCTCGTGACATCGAACTGTCTGCAGATTAAATTTAAGATTCCCACAAATTTAATATATGTGGGTCTAAGCATTGAAGTGATAAAATTATTTTTATTTCATTAAGTTTAATTGCAGTTCTAAACATATTTAGTGTTTTTATTCACTTTTTTTCTCGTCATCATCTCTCCTATAGCTCAGATCACAGCTATTGGCAAACGTCCAACTATGCAAATTAAGTGATGATGTTATCTAGCGACTTCTAGTGACTTTTAGGACAGCCAATAGGGACTTTTCTTGCTCAGGAGTTGGCAACACTGCTTCAGTCCATATGGCTTATTCCTCCGGAGTCAGCACCCCAGTACAGTCTTATGGACTGCCTGCATCATGTTTAGATCTTCCTGTGACCAGACAGGGTATCCAATCAAATGAGACATAAACTCCAGTGTCAATCACCTGGATCTTGGGGGCCAATTCCAACAGCTGTGGGATAACTTGCATCAGGTGAGGATACGACACCTGAATGAGTCCATTCAGCACTAACTCAATGCTTGTTCTTCGACCTTTAAACACGTGTAATTTCATTACATTTTTACCTCTGTTTTGATTTTTTTAATGAATGAGTGTAAAACCGCTAGTTTCATTGAGCAAACAACATACAGAAAGATGCCGAAGGGTATCTTATTAACTGGGAAGGATTCAGTGTACACAAACACTGACTAACATCTCTGTGACAAATCATGCTTTCTTGATAGAGACAGAAAAAGCAATCACTTACTCTTCCTAGGAAAAATAACAGATATTTCAACGCACCTTCATGAACTGTTCCATGGCCTTGGAGGCAAGTGAGTTGGAGCGAAATAAAGTGTTTGGATCAGCTATAAGAGCAAAACAGAAAAAAGGGAACATCATAATGATAGCAAAGGCAATATTTTTAAAAATGCAGCAACTCAGAATTAGACAAGCATAGATGATTGTATAAAGGTATAAGAATTAAAAAAATCTCATTGCTCAAAAAATCACATTATGAATTCAAACCATTAAAAGATAGTTTTAGCCAGCTTTGTGTATCATAAACTATAAATAATATCCTGTAATTTTTAATGTATCTGCTAAAAAAACAAATATAAAAAAAACATTTATCTTTTGATTAGAGACAAAAATGAGGGGAAAAAAATTCCAGCACTGAATTAACAGCCAGATTAATTAGTATTCATAAAAGTCTCATCAGAAACATAATAACTGATTAAAACTTCAGAGAATAAATCAATGTGTCAGTGAGCAGGAAACTACTCATCAGTGGGAAGTCTTTTTATATATTTATATATATTATATTATGTAGTTTGATGCATTTTTATCAACTAAGACACAATAATATCAACTTGCATCCTTCCAAACAGTGGAAATAAAACATCTCTGGTGAGAGGACTGACTAAAAGATGGCAGGTCTGTTTTCATTGCCGCACACTGGCTGTATAATACATTTTTCTTGTTTTGCCCTCAGTGCCTAACTTTAATGTCTGGCTGCTCGCAGCATCTATTCCTGATCAAGCAGTTACCATTTGGATCATGTGGAGTTGCTATGGAAACTTGGGCACTATGCTTATTATCTCAAACTCCACCAACAGAGCCCAAAGACCAGAGCGCAACTCCGTGTGAATTATCTTGAGGCTATGGTGGGGAGGCAAAATAAAAAGAGAAATAAATAAATAAACCACGACTAATCCAGACCATGGAGAAGCCATGAAAAGAGTGTCGAGGCGAGTAAACAACTGGAATCAGGGTGGTAAATATAGAGCTACTGGGCTTTTACCGCCCACACACAGACCATAACTGTGCTGTTCCGAGACTTTAATGTCAGATCAGAGTTAAACTGAAGCAGCCCGTACAAAATGAAATGAAAAAGTGCGCGTGTGTCTATCCGTTACCAAAATATCTCATGAACCACTGTGAAAATTTTAAATAAACTTCCAGAAAGTAATCGATGGTACAACTACTGAGTACAGCACTCTAATTCAAAATGACTGGCACATTAGATACACCAAAACAGTTATATCTTAGCTATTGAGCTCAAATTTGATGTGGTAGATGAGTAAACACATATTTTCAGGATGACATCTCGCAGCATAGAAAGGAATTATACTTTATGATTTCAATCCCAGTTTGGCCAAAATGGCTACATATCTGTCATTTCTCAACAAAAGATTATCTTAAACTGCTGAAATTCTGACATGAACAGCAGTGGGAAATGCCTGTTATAATCAGCTTTAGCATATTCAACACATCAAATTAAATGTTAAATATCTAAATTACTATCAGACCATGTAACCAATTTGAAATATTCCACGGCAGCTCAGACAAACACTTATTTCCAACCCGTTTGTCCCATATTCTTACTGGTGTGGTTGACCTCCCGGGTGTTAAGGTAATCAAGGAATGGCACCACAAGGCCTTGTCCCAAGTAGATCTTCACCAGAGTCATGGCAACATCCTGTCTGCTCTCTACTGTGGTCACATCCTCCAGCATGGTCAGGGCGCTGTTGTCCTCCACCTGTGGACAGGAGAGGACTCGGGGTCATGGAGCTGCGAACTGCAGTGTTTGTGGAAAGCAGATGGAAGGAAACGGAATGCATGGAGCGGTCTCTCGACATGATGATGGTGCACAAATGGACATCCGTAGTGAGGACGAGCTGCAATGCTGACCTCTGCGGGGGAGATTACCGACTCGACCAGAAGGTCAGTGAGGGGCTGGTAGTACATGGACGGCAAAATCCGATCCTCCACCAAACGGACCTTCAGACGCAGCGCTCCCAGCTTCCCACTGGAGACAAATCAAACAGGCAAATGGAGATTTACAGATTTCAAATGAGATCCTTTGAAAAATAGCTTAAAGGGGACAGATCATGTAAAATCCAGGGTTTTTTTAGCCATTAAATGCATTTTGTGGAGTGCAGAAAAGTTTAATTTAGTTTCTCCTGGTGCTGCGTAGATGTTCTTTTTAGGTCCTATTTTCCAACCCGTTCAGTGTTCTGTTTTCTATAATGCTTTCTGAATTATTACATCACAGAATTTGCAACAACACTTGCAACAATGATTTAAATGTGGAAAAATAAAAGGATTTCAAAGCATATGTCTACTTTAAACAACAAAAAGTAAGTCATGTGCATTATTTTAGTAAACTTGTTCGACTAAGTTCACACAAGCGTTTTATTATTCAGTCAGCAGAGATAACATTTTCCTAAAACTCGATGCCTTGTAATCGATTAAACTGTTAAAAGATTTTGGTCACACTCCCCTCTCTTTTCTAATGAAGGCATACATTTTATCCTCTTGTTTACTATTCTTCTGTGTGCTCCCGTCTGTAACTCCTCTAAATCATGACTCTTTTCTTAATAAGCCTGTAAGATGGTCCTTACTTTGACACCATCTTTTTGCAGTTCATCCAGCCCTTTGTTCTAAAATTATCTGCAGAAACAGATGCTGTCAGTGACCTGGTGCTACACCTGTGAATCTTCATTTAAATGCATGAAAGAGAGGGTGAAGGTGAGTAACCATGTTTTTGTTACGTACATCTAAAAAACACACAGCGACTACATTGTGTTTGAGATTATAATGAGCAAAATACGTGTACAAGTCAAGTGTCCAAAGACCAAACACTGCACAAATGAACACACCCTAATTCTCACCTGGAGTCAACCTCATTGTTCCCCAAGGGCAGTAAGCGAAACCAGCCCTCCAACAGAGGCGTCTTGTGCAAATAAGCAAAAGGGATTTCCACCTGTTCGCAGAAAGAGCAAACAAGAACACTGCATCAGTCAAAAACAAAACAACTGTTGGTTTGTGTTGAGAAATATGGTGTGAGAGGAAAACTGTAAACTCTTGACCTTTCCCAGAAAGTCGTTTTTGCCCACCATGTCCCAGTCCCAGACCTCCACGGTAACAGCACCCTGCTCACGTAGCTCCTCTGCATCCAACTCCATCTCTAATGTCTCTCCCCAGTGAGGGAAACGAGTCTTCTTTATAATCTGCAATTAAGAAGTTAAAAAACACAAAAATTCCAACAACTGGTTATCAAACTTTAGCCACATACAGTCAAAAATCTAAAGTCCTCTGTGACATGTCTGGCATGTTTCTAAAACAACCCCCTCCCAAAAAAAGCATCAAAATAGTTTTTCGCAACAAATCCAAAATCTAAAGGAGGTAAAACCTTTTGAGTACTCCTTTGCACACACTAGCCCCGCCCCCCAATGTTACTCCTGTCTGTAGCAACTAAATGTTTAGAAAACTCACCGAAGTTTCTGCGCTGTGGTTATTGAAAAGAACTCGTGCGAATGGATCCGATGTTCCGGAAATGTCTCTGGGAGCCACGTCTCTGTGAAGATCATCGGATAAACAACAGCGTCAAGAGTCAATTTAAATAAGTTTGACAAACTTCACTTTTCTGTTCTGCAAATCAAAGTAGTTTGTGTAGTAGATTTGGGAAAATGTAGCAACTCATTAGCAATCTGTGTTTTGTTTATTTCAAACTTCGTTCACAGTCTTCTGAGCTCGGTTGAAAATCTAAGTGTCGAGCCCTGATTGACAAACTAATTAGTGCCCTAAGTGAGACTGAGAGCTCAGAGCCTGGGACCCACAGATGGGGTGCTGCGTGGTGTGACTGTGGCAGTGTGACTCAGAGGATGCTGTGGGGGCCTGAGGGGTGATGATGAGAAGATCTCAGCTCAGAAGTAGTGATGGTGCAGCAGAGAGCACGGCCACAAAAATGTCACTTCAGTATAACATAACTATAGAGGACCGAATCTGACATAATTAGAAATAAAAGCAGAAATATATAAATGGACCAATTAAATAAAAAAGAGAACATTACTTCATGTTTTATAATTTAATTGACCTTCATATTTATTTTTCCAACTTAGTTCTAATAAATTATATATTTTAGAACATAATTTAAGTTTTACTGTTTTTAAAAATATATTTATATTTTTCCTTTTACTTGTAAATGCATTTGTGTCTATATTTTTAAATATAATTTTTCCCACAAGTCTTTTTATTTCCGTGTGTTTTTACATTTTTCTATCTCCTGTATTTGCATTTCCTTATTCATTTCTGCGTCATTATGCAAATAAAGTGGGCGGTCCTTCTTGGTTAAGCTCCTCACCTATTGGTCAACAGACAGGAAGGAGTAGGATCCATGTGCAGATTTAATTTGCATGCTTGTGCTTCCTCAGTTTAGCCTAAAGTTTAAAGTTTAGATTAAAACAAAGATGCAGGTAACTGTTTTCCTTCTTGCCTTTGCTTTTAACTAAACCTAAACTAAACAGAAAATTTTAATTATGTGGTAAAATATATAATTTATTTGAACTAAGCTAGAAAAATGAATATAAAGGCCAGTTAAATTATAGAACATGAAATAAAGTTCTTTTTTATTTTAATTGGTCCTTTTTAAGAGTATTTATTTATTGGTCCATTTATATATTTCTGCTTTTATTTTTAATTATGTCAGATTCGGTCCTCCATACATAACCGATAGATGCACCAAGCAATGAGGTGACTTGGAAAAACCCTCCGTCCATCTGTCCATCTGGTGAGCTGAATAAGTTTAGAAATAAATAAGTGAGGTACTGACTTCCAGTTTGGTGTGTGGCTGCATCCAGGTGTAGGAAAGGTCCCTACCAAAAAAAAAACTTGCCATGTCAAAATTCTAGTTTTTATATTGCTTTAAAGTACAGTTTCCTCAAAAGATTAGTGTGGCCAATGATATGGCTGAAGATTAATCTATGGTGGTGGATATATTTGCTTCCTCTGTTCACTATGATTCATCACTCTGCGTTGCCTCAAATGAGAAAATAAGAAATAAAAATTACACGTTTTCCTTATACACAGTTATTCCAATATACTTGAATATTTTGCACTAAAAACACTGAAGTTCACTCGCATTCCCTGTTCATTTCCAGTTTAGAAAAAAAAACACTCCTCTCGAAAACTACAAACATAAGGGGGACATCAAAATGTGTTTACCACTACTTCACAGAAGCGAGTAGTTTTTCTTTTTACCTGGCTTCAATGACTTGACAACGCAGCGTGCTCTTTTTGGCGTCTTTCAGAAGCTCCAGACTCAGGTGGATCTCTCCTTGGACTTCTTCATCAGGATCAACCCTCATCAGGTTCAGCCAACTATCAATCCCTGACCAGACCACAGACAGAGAAGCTGTTTGTTACAGCGATGAGAAAAGAAAAAAACAGGCACAAGGACAAGAGGTGCCAAAATATTTGTTCAAGCTGTTCATTTATATTGTAGCAAGTTTTTTCAATCAGATGTACTCTAAATGTAAGAAATACATAACATACTAATACTTAATGACAAGTCGTGAGCAAAACAACTTGTATATCAACAGCTAGAAACAACTTGGTGGACTTTAAATATTCACTGATGTTGTGAGGTTTTACTTCAAATAGATTTTAGTTTTTTAACACAGCTAAAACAAAAATACAGAATTTTTGGGGGAGAGAGTGGGGGAGTTCAAGGTAGTCAAGGTAAAGTCATGCACAGTTATTATTGAAACTAGCATTTCTTCAAAGAATGCATATCTTCCATTTCCTTAAATGTCAAAATTGATCTTGTGTGATCTGTTAGTACTCAGACTGTGTGATGTGGATGACTATCAGCTACAACCACACCAAAATTTAGCTCAATATCTGTAAAACAGACTGTGTTATAGACATTTGTATGTTTGTTAACGTCTATTAATTGTGTCATCCATCTTTAATTGGGTTGCCTCCAAACATGAATCAGTTCTAGATGTGCATCCAATGATTACTTACTGAAAGTTTCATTCAAATGCATCCACTGGTTCATAAGATATTTTGCTAACAGACAGACAAACCACAAACACACACAGTCAGTTACACAATAAATGCATATTGATGAACACTCATTTTTAAACTGATTTCAAAAAGTGTTGGGTCTCTAACACGATGCTGTCAGTTTTTCAGCATCTGTTTGACAGTTTGAGACAAACTGCTGTTTTATACAGCTTTGAATTTTAATCCCTTCCTTCCAGCTTTTCTTTTTTCACTTTCAATAACTATTTCAAAAATGTAAATAACCCTGTTGTAACTTGTTTAACAAGTAAAGATAAGTATCAGGACTTTTTAGCTTGTTTGTTAATTATTTTTGTTTGTTTTGTTTTTTGTGGTTGTTCTGTGAGAAAACAGTCTTGTCTGACCAGAAGAGCAGACAGAAAACACTGTTCTTTCACAAATTTGGATCTGGCATACGGAGTCCCATCAAAACTTTGCATTTCTTTTTTTACTCATGAAGCTTTCATCTAATTTTACTCTGAAACAAAGAAAACTGTTTTTGACAAAATTGTCAAGTCAGCTACATAGTAAAAATAGATACAAATAGCTACATCATGCTAAAAAACTCGTCTTTTTTACTGCAAGTCTCCTTCACTTTTACAAAAAAAACACTGAAAATAAAGTCATTCAACTTTAAATTTCCCATTAAATTAGGTTATTGTACTCTTTTATAAAAAGCCTACCTTATAGGTGCTACTTGACTTTAAGCTCTACAGGAAATATGTTAAACATTAGTAGAAGCATGTGTACATGTACACACACACACACTCTACATCATAAGCACTGTTATCTGTGGTCAAATTACTAACATATTGAAGTTCCCCTTGTCTGTCTTCGGTTAGGGTTTGCCTTATTTTTGCTGTTTTTATTTTTTGAATCAAGTTAACTAGTTTATGTTTCTTTAAACTAAATGAAAACTTATCTGGTCTTCCTGCCTGTTTATGGTGTATTTTGTTGTTTCCTTTTAATGTGGAACAACAATTTTTGGGTAAATATTGTATTTTTTAAATGCTGCAGGTTAAAATCTACAAAAATACTTTAGTCACTATAGCTGAAATTGAACCGATAATATAAATTGTCCTTGCCAGTTTGTTTCTTTGATATAAATATAAATATTTACATTTCCCTCTACACTGTATGTTATGATGGAGATTTGGAAATTCTGATCATCTGATTTAACTGATCAAATGGCAGATTTTATAGTTATCAGGAGTCTTTTTAGTTGGTTGTTGGGAAAAAAAGGAAAAAAAAAAGAACAAGATCGGTTGCCAAACATGCAGGTCAATACGCTCATCAAATCAAAAGTGTTCTCATTTTAAGGTTTTCTTTCACTTCGGTGCAATAATCAGAATTTTATGGAGGTCAGAGGAACAATCTATGTGCTCGAATTAAATTATTTCTATATTTCCCTTAAAAAGGAGACATATCATGCTATTAAATCCTCTCACATTTAATCCTTCAGTTGCGGTCTACCATACATGTCAACCCCTTCGGACGTTTACCTGCATCTTGACCTTCACAAATCTGTGGTACAAAAAAAATCTGAAATGCAACGGGAGTGAATTGTAATTGTTAGCGGACAGCTGGCCATGGGTAAAGACAGAACGTGGGATGGAGATAACAGCACCTGCAGTGCAGAGGAGCAGGGGAAGGAGAATGGGGAGAGGAGGTAACTTATTTCTAATGGCAAAATGGGGGAAAATCTGTGTAATTTACAGATAATTCATACAACTTGACATATATAGTCTGTATAAAGTGGAACTGTGGTGCTTTGGTCTGAATTCCTCCTCGCCCCCTCTATCACCCCTCTCTAAGGGCTGTCTCAGATCAACAACGTTTTGATGCTGACTCTTTAAATACACATGAGGCGCTTCACACCCCGCACCCCTCCAGCTTCCAGAAGGTCTATTCCAGTTTGAGAGATGGGAGTACAACTATATAGTGCCACAGAAACTTTTTATTTACAACTAAGGAAAATGTGTCTATCCAGCCTTACATGTTGGAGCCAGAGGAGAATGAGGAAGGTGAAATTGTAAGTACTAAGTCCAGACGTTCTTTAATAGTTTTGTCGCAAATACCATGATGTAACAGTTCAGAAAACTTCATAGAAAATATAGAAAACTGAACAGGCTGAAAACTAGGACCCAAAGAGAAAATAAAGATATCTATACAGCACCAGGAGAGACTAAATTCAAAATGTCTGCCCTCCTAGAGACTCAAAGTACCCAACAAAATATCTAACAGCTAAATACATGGACTTTGCTTGTTATGTCACCTTTAAGGGAAAAAAATATTGTAATTGGTTGTCCTCTGTAGCCTCGTAGACGTTTTGGTGTTACATGTTCATTTCTTCATTTTGACATTTTATTGCTGCTTATACTGCATTTATTTATTTATTTTTCTCCAGCATAATGATGGCCTCAAATTTCATCAATACCTCTCTGGACAAAGTGTTGAAATTTTGAAATCAGCCAGACTTTTCACATCTTTTTAAATTTGCAGTAACATTATAGAGGGAGAAAGGCCAGAGCTGAACACCTCCAAAGTGTCCAGTTTCTTTAAAACTTGTGAAAATCAAAGATTTTTTTTTTAAATGTGTCTAAATGGTTAATGCAGCTTTTTCTTATGCACACCCACGAGTTTAAAGGGTGAAGGCTGGAACTTTACTGACATTTTGAAATTTTGTCGCAGATTTATCATAGTGTTAAACGGAGACAAATCTGCAGCAGCAGAAATCATGCTGGACCTGAATGCGGTCCTGAATACTTTGAGCAGTACACAAGCTGTGTTCAAATTGTACCTCACTTGTTCAAAAGCATCAAACAAAAGGGAAAGTATAAAGTCAAGGCCAGCCTGTGAGAAAAATAAATAAATCTGCGAGGGAGTAAGTGACTCACTGCCACCACGTAGTCATGAATCACTAAAGTGAAGGCCACGCCAGGTGGCTTTCACCAGAGACGTATCTGTATGCAGCAAACACACCGTGATGAACTCTTGCAGCATTTCAATAAAACTGCTGCACCACCAGAACATATTTTACACGCCATATGTCTGGCTGAGATGCCGCAGAAGGTGCTACAGTCGACTCCGAGTAAACAGAGTGACTTTGAAAACTAAGCTTTCCGCGAGAGAAGACGTTCGTTTTACGGTTTGAGGCTGATTGAAATGCATTGGCTGGCCTCCTGGTTTATGATGCACAATGAATAATCCCAGGACTTATTCAGACGAGGAGCACCATCACAATTACATTCACCAGTGATTCTGTGGAAAGCGGCGCTCGGAAATAAAAAGGATTAATAAATACGGGCAAATTAAATTAAAAGTGAGGAAGAACAGTAATAAACATTCCCAGACTAAAACCAGCCTGGAAACAGCTGTATGTTTAACCTCTGAGCTCAGGTCATAAAAACAACCAGTTATAAACTAAGGCTGATTTGATATCAGTCATACCTTTAGCCTGAGATCCGATTTCTTCTTTGTTCAGTGTAATTTTTCCAATAACATCATCATGCCTGTGAAGAATAACAGGGAGATTATTAAATAAAACCTGCTGAAAATTTGATCAAATCTGGTGAGAAATGATTCGACTGGTAGTCATAAGGAGAAGAGGAAAACAACCTTAGATTGACTTGTTGATCCAGGCTGACCTTCTGCCTCGTGCTGTTTGTTTATACAAAGCTTGGATAACCTTTTGTCCCCAGAACATTTCAGCTGAGCATGGGGTTTTAACCCAAATTTATCAATTTGTGAGCTAAGTTAAACATTGAGGTCTATAAATTAAAGTCAGGCACTGACAAATTAAAGTAACGGCTGAGACAGAATTATTTAAAAATTGCACTGGATGGCCTTGTGACCTGGCCAGTGTACTGATGGAGGTAAAACCCTGCTCCCTGAAACCATGAACATGATTAAATGGGTACAGAAAATGGATGGATGGATGGATGGATGGATGGGTGGGTGGATGGATGGATGGATGGATGGATGGATGGGTAGACAGATGGATGGATGGATGGATGGATGGGTGGGTGGATGGATGGATGGATGGATGGATGGATGGATGGATGGATGGATNGGATGGATGGATGGATGGATGGATGGATGGATGGATGGATTACCCAATTGTGTCTTCATCCATGACAAGAAAGGAGATTGAATGGAACCCCATCGGGAGGTGCAGTGTGTACTCTTCACCCCAGAAAGGATTGAGGTTCTTCCACATGGTGGCTGTCCTGAAAATACAGGGTTGGCAGGTTCTTTAGGCAGAATTTCACACAGCTCCTTTTAATAAACAGATAAATTAAAGTTTTTACAGATCGTAATGCTCATGCACAGCACCACATGTCCTAGTCCATTCACAGCAATTCCTGTAATTCAGGACGGAGTTCAACTCCAGTCTTGTTGTCCTTTACACCTGCTTTTATGTGCAATCCTACTTATTAATTTGTGTTATTGGTATTTTATGTTGTGGTAACAAAAGGTCCTCAACGTGCAATGTTGACGGATGTTAGAATGACTGCAGAGCACAGCTGAAGGACAGTTTAGCCAGTGTATTTCAACGACCCGGAAAGATGAATATTTCTAGACAACACATCGCAAAATGCTACTGAGCATGCACACGAGTAACTGTAAAAAGGTCTGTAGTGTGTGTTTGTGTGTGTGTTGGGGGGGGGGGGGGGGTCTATTGTCTGATCATAATCATACAACAACTACTAAGAATAGGAGGTTTTCTGGAGGATCATAACAATAAAAGATTTTAACATCCATGTCTGCTTTAAATAAATGTAGGTGACTGAAGTTAGAAGAAGTTAAAGGAAAAATATGAGTCAGTTGTTTGCAATCAAATGAAATAAGATGTTTAGTTTACTGTTTTTACTCATTCTTTTCCTACAAGGTTTTAAAAAATTTGCATTGCCTTAATAGTGGAAATGTCTGATGAGTTCAGAGAGAGAGGTTTTTGATGCTCATCAGGACAGAAACTGCAACAGTTTTTTTTCTAATATGTGACCATCACATTGAAACGAGGATTAGGTCCAAACGTGGTATATGGAGAAATAGGCAAATGTAGTTTTGACTAAAATGTTAACAAAAATTGCATTTTGACAAAATCACTGTAGGATTTGAATGAACTGTCTGAACTATGATCATAAAACAAACTTTTGATGCACTTTTTTGACCAGTAGCAACAAAAAAAAACTGATTTTGAGGAAAAACGCCTTAAAATTTTGAGATTTTCCCTGTCAGGTAGCAAAGTTTTGGTTCTTTTTAGCTGGGAAATCTCCATATTCAAATATAATTTGAGGTTTCCTCTTTATAAGAACATCAAAAATTCCTCATTAAATGGACATAAAATTAGGATTCAGACTAAATATTTATGTATTATTGTAACCAACAAGACAAAGTAAGGTGTACATATTGATTTAATTATGATATCAGAATGATCCAGGTATCAAAATNGACTAAATATTTATGTATTATTGTAACCAACAAGACAAAGTAAGGTGTACATATTGATTTAATTATGATATCAGAATGATCCAGGTATCAAAATGTAGCTTTTAAAGCCAAGAATCTGAAAATGTAATNAGGTCATTTTGACCAAATTTGACTTAATCCTCATTTCGATATGATGGCTCACATATGAGAACTCTGGCAGCAATAATGCACACGATTGCCCTGCGGGGAGAATCTATCACAAATAAAAGAAAATTAGTTTTGGTTTAGAGAAGAGCAAAGTTTGGAGAAAGTGAAAACAATATCCAGATATTTTTGTGAAGCATGGCAGTAGCATCATGGTTTCACTTCATCTAGACAAGGATGGCTTTTAAAAACCGATAAAACAAACTCTGCATTATACAAGTTAAAATTGCAAGGACTGAGTCGGTGAATGAGAGTCACAAACTGAATGTCAAGAGAAAATGAATCACCAAAACAACAACAACCCAAAGCATCAGTTCGATAAACTAAAGATTTAATGGAGATTAAAGCTGGTGTTTTGGAACAAACATCTAAGTCCTGATTTTAAAAGTTGTTTCAGTGCTATCAAGACTAGAGGACTGATAATTTACTGAAACTTAAACAAGCAAACGTTTGAAGCAAACAGTAACAAATCAGTTTTCTCGTGAAATAAATGTATATTGTTTACTTTGAGAACAAATCTGAACAGTTTACAAACTGACACTTTAACAAAATACCTGTCAGAAATCAGGAACACAAGGTTGATAGCATCAGCACAATGGATACAGTTTGAAGTGTACCCTTACTTCCCACCACCATGAACATCACACTCAAGTCAGTTGGCCAATAACACTACAAGTGCAAGATAATTAGCGCAAGTGCCTGCAGTGAATCATTGTGCCGTTTTCATCACACCAGATGGAACAAAAGCCACTCAACACACCCCATTCCCTCACTCAGTTATTTCATTTATTCTAATTTAACTCAGTTTAAACCAACGTCTGACAGGTGTATTCCCCTCTCAGCTCCCAGCATCCTCCTCTCTTACAGGTGGCTCCTGCAATAATTAATGCATCCTCTCCATGGTTACCTAAGGGGTGTTTAAAGGCCAGACCAGTATCAGGTTCTCTGTGTTGGAGGGGCCACGCTGCTGGCATCTAAACACACGTCTACTACATGTGTGTGTGAAAAATAAGAGCTTAGAAACTGCGAAATGCTCAAACCACATCTGGACATTTTTAGTTGGGATAATCCAGCTGTGGGTGGAGGGTTTATTAAAGAGAACTCACCTGGCCACAACTTCATTGTCAACTTTTACAATGCAGTAAGGGTCACTGGTTCCCGATCTTAAAAGAAAAAAACAACACAGAATAAGCCATTTTATTCATTTTTTTATTTATCTAATATTTTAACATGTTAGTTCCATATCAATGAAATAAAGACCTGTCATTTCTTTAAGCTATTTTAGAAGACAAAACTGAATTTTGCTCCCTTCCCCCCCTCTAACATGACAACTATCAATGAATCAATCAGATAAGATGAGCGCAGAGGCGCGTGCCATTCATTCAGGAATTACTCACACGTCTTTGGCTGGTAGGTTCCTGCCTTCGACTATTCGAAAGTACAGAGATGTGTTTTTGGCCATCTTCGTTCGACGGATTTATTTATCCAAAAAAATTTTCCCTATGTGGCCATGCGTGCCCTTATAAATAGCGTCCTTCTCCTCCGAAAGTGAGTTTTCTTCGTTTCATGACACCTTCACGGCTCGTGACGGCGGCGCTCTGCCCACCAGTAGCGCGCGACACGAGCGCGCAGCCTCGGTCAGTTGAGCGGGTTAAACCAAAAACCCACAGTCTGCAGGGTTAAACACAGAAACAGCCTCTGTCGTTCTTACTGCTCATTTTAATGTGGATTTAGTAGATGAGAAACGGTTATTTGCAAACCAGATGACAGTGGTTTTCTGATAAACATTTACATTATAGTCTGCTGCAAGCAAATCAGGTCAAGTCTGAACATTCTTTTTATTTTTTTTTTCTAATGCAACTCAGGTCTTTTTAAATGTGTGGTACTAAATCGGATACATATCCGATGTTTTTCAAAACTGCTGCAGTCTGAGGACTTTACGCTCAGTGAACGGGTCGACCTAAGTGTTTAGAATAATAAAACCAACCTCGTGCAGTTTACAACTCCACGTCTTCAGCTAGCACAAGTCCAGTTGCTTCGTCTTTTTTCTTTTAATTTGCCATGTCCTGACTCCTGGATGACAGAGAATCCACAGCAACATACGCAGAGTTGTAAAGTAACTAAGTACAAAACAGGCCTACTTACTGCACTTAAGTAGAATTTTCGGGTATCTGTACTTTACTTGAGTAATTATTTTTCAGCCTACTTTTTACTTCTACTTCTTACATTTTCACAAAGTTGTACTTTCTGCTCAGGGGCGGAGCCAGGGGTGGCCATGGCCACCACAGACAAATCTTTGGCCACCCTGCTGTACACAGCCCTTCCACTGTGAAACAACCTTCAGGGGTGTAATAATCCTCCTGAAAAGTTGGTGTCAGTGTTTAACAGCTTGAAACATCACCAAGCTCAAAGAAGTGACAAAATGTGATTGTTTTCTTTATGTTATCTGACTTATGGTGACAAAAGTTTTTGTTTTTTGTCATCATAACACAGTGTCATTTTCTGTTATGAAGGCTGCATGATGCTCTGTCCCTTTTGGTTATGAATAGACTTATGACTAAATCAGAAAAAGTGAAATGCCTCTTTAAATTCACTGTTGGTGAGTATCAACATTGCACCTGTTCATTGGGTAAAGTTATTACTACTAGTTTTATACATGCAGTTGAAGGTCATCATTATAGGGCACAATGATGTGTAACAATTAAAAATAAATCAACAAACAATATAAAAGTAAAAAGCAACCCTAAAGTCATTAGATATGATAAATTGTGACACATTAATTAACCTTATCTCAGCTGTAGCAGTGAGTTTAAAAACAGGATAATGAAACTAGTTTAATGAAGAATCTGTCTCTGAAGTAATTATTAAATCAAGTGTTTATTTATGTAGGTAAAAGTATGTTAAACAACCTGGTAAAATACACCAGAATGCAGGAAATCGCATCTATTTCATTCAAAATTTTCTGGGGGAGGACCCCCAGACCCCCCAACAGTGTGTCCCCCACTTTTAAAATGGTTCTGACGCCCATGTTTTTAAGGCAGTCACTGCCTGTATAAGGACATAAGGAAATGAACAATACACAAAGATTTGCAGAAACTTTCAAGTAAAAAAATGATGTAATTGTCCTGGCCTGGCCGCCCCTGTGTGAGTAGTGGTCCCCATGTGGCCACCCCTGAGAAAAATGTCTGGCTCTGCCACTGTTCTCCTTACAAAGCTAGAAGTAGAAAGTCGTTACTTTTACTTAATATTTGCTTGATTTTATTCCAGCTTATAAAAAATAAATTCTATCCAAACAGTGCCTCCGAGATAGAGTGAATTTAATTGTGGTTGAATGAGAAGTATAAATATATAAAATTCTGATACTGTATTAGTTTGTACACAAACAAATCATGTCACACTCCAGCAGGACTTAATCATTAAAATAAAAGGATTGTCCTTTAGAAGTTGTATTTCATGAATTCTATTATTGCATTGGACCCACAGCCCATCTATCCATCATCCATTTGGGCACCATTGATATGTGTACATAAACAAACAGCTGGGTTAGTTCATCCTAAATTTAACCAATTGTTTATTTTAATACAACAGTCATTTCTGCATTTTTTTATTTTTGGAGAGGTCCTAGTCATTACAGAAAATCTAACTGCTCATTTTAAATCAATACTTTTACTTTTAGTACTTAAATACAAAAAATATCAGATACTTTAATACTTTTACTAAAGTAATATTCCTAAAGGAGACTTTTACTTTTACCAATGTAATTTTTTGGTAAGATACTCGTACTTTTACTCAAGTATCACTTTGTGGTACTTCATATACAACACTGAACATATGATAAATACCCTCAGACTGGATCGATAATAAAGGCATGGGATCGATATTTCAGTTACTTTCACTATCAGAGGCAGAGCACGTCACTCCGGTTCCAAAATACGCGGCTCTGATTGCGTAACGACTTCGAAATCGATCCTTCCTTATGCTGCTGGTCTAGCGTTCATATTTGCGTCTGTAAACGTGTGACTTCACGTCTTTTTCTGTAGGCCTAAGTCTTGCCCATAAATAAAAAGCTACAAC